CCACTAGATGTCGCTGAAAACAACAAATCCTACACACTGTGCCTTTAAATGGTTTATATTTAATATATTAGCTGTACTTAAAGAAAGCTTAAATTGGGATTTCTAAAATTTAACATTTGACTACAAAAAAAAAACTTTTTTTTGGTTGATCTTTCCGAACCACATCCTTAGCAAAGTGGCACGTGTCCAAATAAATAAATAAAATTAACAAATTATGCAAAATTGAATTTTTTTTTATTTTCAAAAAAGCAACAGATTACACAGGTAACTTTCAGCAAATGCAATCCTAAAACTGAAACTGTACTCACATTCGGGACTTCAAAATGAAAGACTCACATACTTACACGCTATCTATAATATACAAAAATGAATACATAATAAATATTAAAATGGCCACGAGAGAGAGAGAGAGAGAGAGAGAGAGAGAGAGAGAGAGAGAGAGAGAGAGAGAGAGAGTCATTGAAAACAATCAGAGAGCAAATGTAGGGAAAGTAGAAACAAGACAAGTGTGCCTTAAATGTCCTTTTTTTTTCTCTTTTACATTTTTTACAAATTGTGCAAGATTTGATACTAAGGCTCTGGTCTTGAAGTGACAGTTTGATTCACACACATCCTTGCATCCACTGAAACACACACACACACACAACGCACACACACTCTGTGTGCTCGGCGCACTCTGTGAGGTGTAGCAAACCATTTCAGAATTTAAAAAAAAAAGGGCTGCTCGGTGTATGGGCCTGTGATGCTCACAGGAGTGGGGCCAGCTTTAAAAATAAACCAAATAAAAATTTAAAAAAGCAAACCGACATGCATTTTCACGCTGATGTGACAAAGAAAACAAAAACTCCCCTTGCATCTAAAGAATCTTTTTTAAGACTGAATGAAAAGGGTTAAAAGAAAAAAAAAAAACAAAACAAAACAAAAATGACAATATCATCACCGTTAAGGCAAAAATAAAAACCCGGAGTGGCATCAGCAATATTGTAACAACATAGTGTTCAGGTAAATGGATATGATGGAACATTTAACTACTTCTTCAATGTCTTTTTTTCTTAAGCACAAAGTTCATTTGAATTTTTACCCCCGAACCCTTACATCAATTCATCTTTTACCCCTTCTTTTTTTATTTTTATTTTAATTTTTGCAAAAAGTGTTAAGAAAATAACAATGCCAGACACTATAGGGA